AAGCGGAGGGCTGTCGAAGTGCCATTTAATAAAATGTAAAAAGCCCCTTTCAAAAGGGCGAAGCAGCACAAGACAATGAAAGTGAATCACAGCTGCCAGAGGAGATGCCAAGCAGCAAGTACTTCTAATCAGAAAGCTGGGCTTGCAGATCCTCCCGAGCCAGTAAATTCAATGATCTCACTGTCCCTCAGAAGAGTTTCCTCTCCCCCCTCCGCAGCCTCGCACATGTAGCGCTTGATAACGGGTTTAACATGACATGGATTTTTACTCCATATCGGAGAATGGCAGTGAGCAGCCCTGACCTTCGCCATGGGGCCTTTTCCTGTCATCCATTTTATGCCCGCGCGTGTCTCTGGCACGCACACATCTGGCATATCGCAGTCTGACCCTGCCCGTACCACTACTTGAAAAGACAGCCGAAATACTTTCCAAATACCGCGGTTTGCCTGCATGCCTCCCAAGTGCTCCTCGTTCAGGGCGGCCTGCGTCTTAGTCTCAGATAGGCCTGCGCCCCGTACAGACCGGCTGTGATATCTCTTGTTATTGTCAACTATTTGCAGAAGCTGTGTTGGCTCGTAAAGTGACACTTTTAATTGTTATAGATTTACACATCACACGACAGGTTTACATATCACACATATCACGTGTAACAAGAGTTACACGTTTAATTTAACTTTAGAGTTACACTTTTAATTGTTTGTTTCCTTTTATTTTTCTGCCTTCCCCACCCCTCTTGCTTTTGTGTCTCAGACTTCAGGAGGTAGAGACAGATGTTTTCACCCACGCGTATCACCAGCCTGTTGGGATCTTGCCATGGGCTCATCTACTTCAGTGGCAACTATTCCCATTTGGGGCCCTCTGAGAAGCCAGTCTTACTGCATGCTGGTAAAGGCCTTGCTCTGTAATCAAGTTAAAAGTGTAGAAGGATTCCTCCATTTGGGTGGAGCCCGAGTGGGTTTTGCAGGGATGCAGGCATCCAAGCCAGTTGAGCAGCTTTAAGAAGCACACCTGGAGGTGCTCTGGGGCCATGACATGCTTTTGAAAGGAGCTCACAGGGAGTAGCTGAAGTGCTGATCAGAAGAGATTTAGGTTGCTAAATCAGTGCAGGGTGATGTAGGGGGAATTCTCCTAGGGGCAGGACAGTTTTACACGGGTATATTTCGCACCGGTTCTGCGCCCTAACATAAGTTACGCCAGGATCTGGAGCAGATCAATGTGTAGCTTTATTGTGATGGCTGTTGATGCCTGTTAAAATGCCTTGTCTGCAGCTGGAAGGGGGAGTAGGTAATAGCCTGTCTGCTTTAAAGAAATGGCTACTTCAGGGTAAGTTGTAGCCACACAACACCCCGCTCAGTGTAACTTAAAACTGATAACATTTTCCCTCTGTCTTTTCAGCAGTAATTCTTCACTGGGTTGGGCATATTTTTGGGTTCAATGTTACAAAAAAGGCTTGTCATTTTAGCTCCTAGCATTGTATTCCTATTTGGTCCTATAGCATGAAAAAAAGCAGTTCCTGCAGGAGCCGGGGTAGTTTATAGCTGAGTGAGACCTATTAGATCATTGAGGTCATTACCCTGCAAGAGAGGATGTAGCTGATATTAAATTGATCTTACTTTTGAACTAAGCCAAAAAGCCATTTCAGCGTCATTTAACAGTGACATGGGACAGCACTCTGCTCTCTGTCCCCTTTTTAGATTTTGGAGGACATGCAGGTTTTGCTGAGTACCAGTGAGCAATAATGACGCTCCAAAAGGAGCATCCTCCTTTGTTTGCGAATGCTGATGTGTTGCCAACTCTTGTAATAGTTGCTGTTTTTTCTGAAAGTCCTAGCTCTTGGAGTCAAGTGATTTTGGATTATGGATCTCCTGCTTGTAGGGGGAATCTTGTAAACATGAACTCCAGAGGCTGAAAAAACAGAAGGCCAATTAAAAATAAAAGTATTATTATTTTTAAACATCTCATTATTTTTAATAATCTCATCATTTTGGAGGTCTAACTTGTGATTATTTTTAATGCATATGGCTGGCAGTACTGAAAGAGAGATGATTATCTGGGTTTGGAAGTCCTTGCGCTGAAAGCAGCGTTCACCTGTAAATGTTATTGCACTGCACCACCGAGGATGAGGCAGCCACACATAAATCCTGATCCTTTCCTACACTCACCTCCTGCTTTACTTGTGGCAAGTTAGGGGGGTCTTATGGTTTTTGGGCACCGTGCCTGGAAGTTGGAGGTGAGGGTTGCTCATGCAGTTTTAAAAAATAGGTCAGGCAGACACTTGCATAGGATGGTTTAGATAGAGATGATCCTGTCTTGAGCAGGAGGTCAGGCTAGGTGATTTGCTGGGGGTCCCTTGCAGCCCTGCTTTTCTACGATTTTATGATTAATCATGTGAGTTGCTCCAGTGACTGCTTGCATTTGAAACTTTCCACGTCCTTTTCTCAAACAGCAAGCAGTTTTCAGTGTGAAAATAGAAACCAGAATGCTTCCTCCCCTGAATTTGTCCTCATTTTCTCACTGATTTCTACAAGCATTGTGGGTCCACCTCTATCTGCTGTACTGCTGGCTGTTCTGTGCAATAGAGCCGCACTTTCTATTTCTGTTATTGAAAATGAAAAGGAAGTATACCTCTGTGTCTAATTAGGAGATGCTTTGGTCTGCTTTTTAAAACTCTTCTTTCTGAAGTGATTTGAGATTTGCAGGTAGAAAAAGTGCCTTATATTGCACAGTATTCTTATTTTAGGCCCCTGTTCACCCCCATTGTTTTAAAGCCTGCAGATTTAACGGAGCCCTTCATAAATGGTGAATCAGCAAAACACGAGGAAAGAAAAGTTAAAGAAACTGAAACCTACATTATTTCAGGCACTCTCTTGTTCGTTGTTGCCAAGTCTTGCAGTTTTATTATGAGTCTCATGATGGCTGGTGTTTCATTTAAAGCCCTTGCTACTACAGACAAGTCATTAAATGAGACTCTCAGCTTTCCTTTAAAAAGTGCTTTTTTAACCTCCTCATTGGAGAGAGATGCTTGAAAATGTGACCCTAATGGCTCAGAAAGTATGAAAGTAACTCTGATTTAAAAAAAATAAAAAGCCTACAAATTTTTAAGACAATCTTTCAGACTTAAGACATTTGAATATTCGGATTTGGCTATTCGGAACAGATCGTCTCCGTGCCTCATCCTATGCCTGGGTCAGATATTTTAAAGGCCAATTTTATGCATGCAGAAGGTTCAAAGCTCTGCATCAGCAACCTATAAAGATGTCAGCAGGATGCTAAGTTCCTCACACTGCCCAGGACAGTTTGTCCTAAAAAGAAAAGATAGGACTAAACTAATTCAAGACCTGGACTAGGAGCAATGGCCTCAAGCTGCAGTAGGGGAAATTTAGAGATTGGATGGTTATCATTGTATTCAAGATAAATCTCGGCATGCAGAGATTAGGAGGAGCTTTCTGACGATGAAGGTGGTCAGGCATTGGAGCAGGCTGCCTAGAGAAGCCGAGGAGTCTCCGTCCTTCAGATCTTCCAAGCTCTTGGCTGGGATGAATTAGGACTGATCCCACCTTGATTGGGGGGCCTGGACTAGATGACCCTGCGAGGTCCTTTCCAGCCCTACTTTCCTATGATCCTAAAGGCACTGAATGGTGGGGAATGGCCGGCAGGGCGTAGGTGACAGCGGCCATCTCAACCAGCTGTTCAGTACTCCGGCTGCTTAGCATTTGTGTTGCGCTTCATCTGTGAAGAAACCCCCCAAACTCCTTTAAACATGTAAAATCACAGAGAAGTAAGGCCGGAAAAAACCTCCAGCAGTCATCCAGTCCAACCCACTGCCTGAAGCAGGATCATCCCCCTCCAAACCTTCCTATACACGAAACACTGCATGAGATTAAACCCTCTCCAAACCTTCCTGTACACTCATCACTACATTAGATTAAACTCTCTCCAAACTTTCTTATACACGAAACACTACATGGGATTAAACCCTCTCCAAACCTTCCTGTACATGAAACACTACATGGGATTAAACCCTCTCCAAACCGTCCTGTACAGGAAACACTACATGAGACTAAACCCTCTCCAAACTTTCTTATACATGAAACACTACATGGGATTAAACCCTCTCCAAACCTCCCCATACACTACATAACCGTCAACCCCGACACAACATCGACTGTCGCAGGTGAAACCGGGGAACCACAGCCGCCATCGTCCTGCTCGTACGCCAGGTCGTCTACATTTCGTAGACGTTAGGGCTGGAGGGGACGGGGGGAGGTGGTCGGGTCCAGCCCCTGCCCCGGGGTCCGGAGGTCAGCGGGGGTCGCAGCATCCAGATGTTTCTGGTGGGGGTCCCGAGTCGGCGCCTGCATCACCGGGGGGGCTCGGCCGTAAAGCAGTTAGTCCTTGGGGCCAGTCTAAA